ATAAAAATAGAGAAATGCACATTAATACACAAAATGGAATATAACAGAATTAAGACAAGTACAACAAAGACACAAATCAAGATATACACGAACACTATACTAGACAACAAAACAATTTTCACATTGAACACAATAGAAAGAATAAATTGAGAGAAATGTGCATATGGAACGCTAGTAAAATATATAATGAATTGCCAAACGATTTAAGATGACCAATGATGGACGATAAATTTACAAGAAAATATTATGAAAACTGTTTTCATAATCTCTCATACCAGGCACTTTTGCCTGACTGAGAATATATAAAAATAATGTATATATAAATAAATAAAAAATAAAAATGTTATTTAACAGAGTTGTTCTGACTCAGCTTCATAACATAGTAGTGACGTTGCAGTTATGTGCAAAACGCCTGAATGCACATCAAATACATGACATTTTGACATTATTTAGTATGATTCAAGAGCATAATGTAGCAAGTTGGAGCTTAACATGGCCTTGCCATAACTTTTTCTATTATGCGGCAGAATGTGCCCATAAATAATATATAACTAGTACTATTAGTTAAATAGATGTATATAAATAAATTTATTCCCCTGCCGTCACTTAGACAAAACAAAATCTCCTGTCAGATTTCAAATTCAAAATTACAAAATGTGAAACTAATTTAAAAAAAATCTCATGATAACACAAATAGCAAACCGTAAAAAATGTCTCGATACACAATAATCGAATACTGGAGGAGTTTTCTGATGAGCATCTCGAAAGGCTTAGAAAAAAGCAGAGGCAGCGGAGTGGTCACCAGTAAAGGTAATAATTAATTAAATAAATGATCCATTGATAATTATTATTATTTAATTATTAAACAAGTACGATGTTACCAAATCATAAGATTCAAATCGTAAGAGATCTTACAGAACTGTTTAATTTTTGCAAAAATATAAAATTGATTACAATTATATTTTCTTATAAATCTCTTATAGTTCTTGGAAAATTTACTCGATAACACAAAACACCAAGTTTGATTTGTATGTTTACCTAAACTTTCTCAACAGTGACCTTCTTGTCTAATGCCTTATCAACATCGTTTGTTTTGTCTGTTTACCTAAACTTTCCTAAACACTATCCGTCTAATCTGAAGCCTAAACTTTTTCAACGTTGTTTATTTTGTCTGATGCCTAAAAAACTTTCAACATTATTTGTCTGGTCTAGTTTCTTAAACTTTGTGAACTTTGTCTGCCTGCCGAAAATTTCTCAACTTTTGTCATTAAACCTAAACTTTCTCAACAATGTCTGTCTGCCTAAATTTTCAAAACATTGCATTTCCTTTCTATCTTTTATAAAAAAAAACTTTCTCAGCATTGTTATCTTGTCTGTTTACCCAAACTTTCTGAGCTTTGTCTGTCTACCTAAATTATCTCAGCGGTGTCTATCTTGTCTGTTTGCTTAAACTTTCTCAACAGTGTCTATTTTTTCTTTGCATGGTTTTATTGTCAATCAAAATAATAAACATTTATAAGACAATGTGCTGTAAAGTTATGCATCTCTTAAGATTATCTCCTATGAGATATCTCTCTTTTTTATTTTTGACATTTTATTTAAGATCGTAAGGCCATTTTTTCTTCAACCTTCGTGTGGAATGTTCCTCGCTTAATCTTTTAAATACAAGTTTGGGTGACCTGGTAGTTTTTCGTGGTATTTTTTGCTCCTTTCTTCTATCATTTCATTAATAGTTTTTATTTTTAGGTCGTTCACAATGCATCTTAAAATTTCAATTGCGCTACTTGTATTTTTTTTAATATTTGAATTGCTTGCGCACGCCCATAGCTCAATGCCGTATGTCCAGATTGGAATATTATTGTTTTATATAAAAAGAGTTTGTTTTTCATAGCACGTATTTGAACTCCTGCCAATTAGCCAATACAATTCTTTGCCTAAACTTTCCAGACATAACATGTCTTTTCTGTGTATTTTTTTTTAACTTTCTCAGCATTGTCTTGTCTGTCTACCTAAACTTTTGAACTTTGGCTGTCCGTCTGTCTCTGCCTAAATTATCTCAGATTTGTCTGCCTACCTAAATTATCTCAACAGTGTCTACCTTGTCTATTTGCTTAAACTTTGACAACAGTGTCTATCTTGCCTGTCTACCTAAACATTACAATTGCCTGTCTTGACTGTATTCTCATACTTTCTCAACATTGTATGTATGCATAAACTTTCTCAGCATTGTCTGTCTTGCCCGATGCCTAAACTTTCTCAACAGTATCCGTTTTGTCTAATGCCTAAATTTTCTCAAAATGGTTTGTCTTGTCCATCTTCCTAAACTTTCTGAACTTTGTCTGCCAAAAAAATTTCAACTGTGTTTTTGAACCTAAGCTTTCTCAACGGTGTCTGTTTGCTTATACTTTCTCAACAAAGTCTGTCTTGTCCACCTACCTAAACTTTATCATTGCCTGTCTTGTCTGCCTGCCTAAACTTTCTAAACATTTTCTCTTGTCTATATGTCTAGAACTTTTCAACATTGTAAGTCTTGTCTGTTTGCCTGCAAAACTTTTTCTACATTGAATTTTAAACATTTATTAAAGCTTGAAATAATAGGCAACGCTTTTAGGAT